ATCCTCAGGGATATTTTCTTGGAAGAAAGACGCAAATGCGAGGGGATATCAGAATCATCCGAGCCGCCCTCGCCGGACATGGCCTCATCCTCATCCAGACGGAGCACGACAGGATCTCATCGCCAAACACTGAAAACATTGCTGAAGTCTCCTAGCACTTCCAGACTTTACGGCCCAAGCCAGAAACCTACTGAAGCCTCGGAGTCATGTACTCCATCAGTAGCGTCGTCTGGGGTAGAGGGTACCGATATTGGCGCTGCTCTCAGCAAGTTGAATTCCCGGGAAGCCTACTCTACTAGCCGTGGCTATAGTCCCTCGAATACGAAATCCCCGGCTCTTTCGGTGCAGCACGCTAATGACGAAGCCCTTCCGCCTCTTCCTGCTTCCAAACACTCTTGGAAGCTGAAGGGCATGGTGGCAGTGATTCGACACGCAGATCGGACCCCGAAGCAAAAATTCAAGTTCACCTTTCATAGCCAACCTTTTGTGGATTTGCTGAAAGGGCACCAGAACGAGATAGTGATCAAGGGGGAAGCTGCATTGTCCAGTGTTTGTGATGCCGTCAAGCTAGCTATGGAGAAGGGTCTAGAAGACATGGACAAGCTTCAGTTGCTCCGCACATCTTTAGATAAAAAGGGCGGCTGGCCTGGTACCAAAGTACAGATCAAGCCGATGTTCCGGAAAAGAAAGCCAGAGGAAATGGGAGAGCAGGGCCCACTGGAAACTTCAACTCCATTGCCCGAGAGCAAGCCCAGTGAAGAGCCCCCCGCCCCTGTACCCAATGAAGGTGAGGGACTCACGCCAGAGGATGAGGACTTGCGCAAATCACAGACACGAAGTGATTCTATCTCGGGTGCGACTTTTTCTCGGTTCTCTGCCGCCGAGAATGACTTGATCCTGGACAAACTACAGCTTGTCATCAAGTGGGGTGGCGAGCCCACACATGCTGCGCGTTATCAATCGCAGGATCTTGGACTGAATATGCGTGATGATCTTAAGCTGATGAACAAGGAGGCGTTGAATAACGTCCGTATTTTCACCAGCTCAGAACGTCGAGTGAGCACCAGTGGTAAGCTATCTTCCTTCCCAAGTCCTACATACATCAAGCTAATAATTCTTATAGCACAGATATGGGCATGCTCATTTTTGGACCAGAAGGATATCCCGGAAGACTTGATACAAGTTCGGAAAGATCTGCTTGACGACTCAAATGCCGCCAAGGATGTCATGGACAAAGTCAAGAAAAAGCTGAAATTGCTTTTGCGAGAAGGGTCTGCGCCTTCACAGTTTGCTTGGCCCAAGGACAGAAATATCCCAGAACCTTCAGTTGTCCTTGCTAGGGTAGTTGAACTGATGAAGTTCCACCGGAGTGTCATGCGACAAAACTTTGAGAAACTCGAGAGCGCACCACACATTTTCCAGACCCCATCCAATGACCCTGAAACCCAGAGCCAACCACCCCCCCTGGATCATGATATATCTAACATCCAGGGCCGTTGGTGCGCGGGTGAAGATCCCCGACTCTTCAAGGAACGGTGGGAAAAGCTATTTGCGGAGTTCTGTGACACCGAGAAAGTCGACCCAAGCAAACTTTCCGAGCTATACGACAGTATGAAGTTCGATGCACTCCACAATAGACAGTTTTTGGAATGGGTCTTCATGCCTCAGGACAGCCCCCGTGACTCTGTTGAGGAACAGAAAAGCAAGGGTGCTATAAAGATAGACACGGGCGCGGAGGGGAAACCCGGACAGGAAGCCGTGAACGACAGATCCGAAGAGCGCACGGAAAGCCAGACGTTTGCCCACCGCTTTGGGTTGAAGAAACGCATCCTCACTCTCGAGTCACTGCCCCACCTTCGGGCACTAGATGATTCATACGATCATTACTTCAAGCTGTTCCCTGGTTCCCAATCCTCCAAGTGCAAGATGGATGAGCGGCTTTCTCAGCTCCGGGAACTGTACAAGCTAGCCAAGGTTTTGTTCGACTACGTGACGCCTCAGGAATATGGAATCACCGACAGCGAGAAACTCGAGATTGGCCTTCTAACCTCTCTTCCCCTTCTTCAAGAAATTGTTCGAGATCTAGAAGAGGTGCAGGCTTCGCAGGATGCCAAGTCCTTCTTCTACTTCACCAAGGAATCTCATATTTACACCCTCTTGAACTGCATCTTGGAAGGTGGAATTCAAACCAAGATTGCCAGGAGTGCCATCCCAGAACTTGATTACCTCTCTCAAATTTGTTTCGAGCTATACGAAGCGCGGGACAGTGAATCGGACTCCTACTCCTACTCCATCCGTATCTCAGTCAGCCCTGGTTGTCATGCCTTCGATCCGCTTGACGTGCAACTCGATTCCAGACACTCCATCGGCTGCACCCCACGCCGAAGCTTAACCGCCCATCAGGATTGGAAGGAGGTGATTGAGACGTTGAAGGCGAAATTCAACACGTAAGTTGTATCCTACGTTAACCTCCCCGGATTTTTACTGATCATTGCATGTAGTGTGGAACTACCCAAGACTTTCATCGCGGTAAACCTCAGTGACAAGCACTCTCACGGTGAGAATTCATCGTCGCCCCCGCGTGATATCTCTCCCCAACCCAGGACTAAGATCAATATTTCGGGAACATTGTATTTGGCATGGCCATTTTTTTTTTTTTTTGCTTTATTTTGTGCCCGATACCTTTGGATAGAATTGCCCTCTTATGTACCCCTTCCTTACGAAGGCTGTATAGTTAATGAATGTATGGTACTAGTAAACGGAGATCCTATGAATTACCTATTCCATTTTTTTTTTTCGTAGGTTTAGTCCCATAATAAATACACCGTCCTATAACCTCCCTCTAATGCTCCCCATATATAAAAATTAAAAAAACGAACAGGACATACTCGGCCAAACCCGGCCAACCACGGCCAACCACGGCCAACCACTGTCGGCCAACAACACTGTGGGGTAGCGGCCAAGCCTGTGGAGACGAGTTTGGCCGCAAGTCTTGGGGTAAACAAGGGCGTAAAGTATGGAGTAGCGTAATAGAAATTAAAGAATTGCATCGTTCGGCTGGTCCTGGTGGCCGTTCTCCCCTGCAGGTCCGGGAAAATCTCTCGGATCTTCGCTGATCTCCAGGGTTATTATAGTTTTGTTGTGTCAAATTTGTCATAGAAGCTACAATTTTCCTTGCATGGCCACCAATAGTCACAAATTCCTCGGGGGTCTAATTTCGCTCGGGCTTGTCCGGGTTTATGGAAAAAAGAACCTTTATATAGTTACCTTTCGCTGAAAAAAAAGTTGAAAAGAGGTCTTGGATTTTTGATAGACTCACTTGGGCCTCATTCAGAGTCATTCTCCATACATCGATGTTATCCGACGAAATGTCTACTGAGAAGGGAAATGAGACACCGGTCTTCAGACCGAGTCAACCGGTCATGAAGCCCGGTGCTCACTTAGCAAACCCTGTAAGAGCCTTGGATAACTAACTTGAAGTTTTTGATGCAGAGTACATCTACTAACATGTCAATATAGGCACCTTTGGCGATGGGTGGCTTTGCTACCACTCTGCTATCTGTGTCTTTGGCTATGATGAACTTCCGTGAGGTCTACACACAGACTATTTTCATGGGTGATCTTTGTTTCGTCGCTGGAATCGGCATGCTTATTTCTGCTCAATGGGAGATGGTCCGAGGGAATACATTTTCCTACACAGTTCTTTCTGCCTTTGGTTCGTGGCGACAACAATCCCTATTTTGCTATCAAGGGGGCTTATATTAACATTTTCATCCTTGCAGCGTTCTTTTATGGCGGTTACGGAGTAATTATGATTCCCGCATTAGGCATCGTGGATGCATATGGCGGTTATACTCCGGAATATCACAACGCCCTGGGGTTCTTTGTCTTGTGTAAGCACTATGCTTTGGGATGATCTATCTCTTTCTCTGACATTCTCTTCTCTAGTATGGGCGGTCTTCAACCTCTTCTTTCTCTTGGCCAGCTGTGCTCTGTGAGTTCCTTCGACTCTACAATTCTCTACTGCGAGAGCTAAGAGCTAACCCCATCGAACAGGAACCTTTGTTATTTCCTTCTGTTCCTCACCCTTGAGCTGTGTCTCATCTTCGACGCCGCAGGTAGCTTTGTCCTGGCCGACGGATTCACCGACAAAAGTGCAGATCTTATGACGGTTGCTGGTGCTTTCGCTTTCGTTTCCAGTTTGCTTGGATACTACTCGGTTCTCCATTACCTGTGTGAAGAGTCTCTGCCATTCTCGGTTCCGATGGGCGACACTTCTCAGGCTTGGAAGCGTTGGTGCAAAAAGCCAACTCGGGAAGATTCGAAGGGTCAAGGAGAGTTGGTGTGAAGGGAATCAAAGGTTATACAGGGAAAAAAATCTCTCGCACAGGATGTGCTTCTTTTTCATTCGTCAAAAAGGTTAAATTTGGATTAGACGTTTTAATACAACATACAGTGGTACGGCTATGGCTAATAGGAAGGATGGCTATGCTATGACTAGCTGCAACTAGCTACATGTGTGGTCTTTAATGGATGTAATATATATATACCGATACAATGTTTTTGGGCTAGTCGGCTAAATGCTCGTATAAGGTTCTCCGCTAATGATTACCCAGGTGTATGTCATAGGCAATCGTGCTTCCAAGCAGCTTCTGACCATATATGATTGATTGTTGATGATCTTCCGTACGGCGTTGAGCAGACCCAATATAAATAGAGCCAGCGCTGCCGGTATAAGAATTCAACCATATTGGAAGTGTTAGTTGTATATATAAATAAGCCCCCCAAAAATAGATAACCAAGTAACCTCGATTTTTTTGGATAAAAAGACAGTCATGTAATAATAATAACAATTAAAGAGTGAGATCTCTCCTAGAAAGCCTGTCGTCTTTTTAGCCAAGTAGTACGACATGGATTAAAAGGTCCGGGTAAGCCGTAAACCCCGCCTTGTCAACTGTTGATTTTTCTCTCACTACTCTACATACTCAGAGATAGCAGAGATGTCTGGCCCTTTGGCAGTCGATATAGTCGATAGTACCCTAAAATACACATCTCACGCAGGTGCTGAGTATGTGATTGACTTCAACGACATTCTCTGCGTCTTGTCCAATCCACCCACGTACAGTGTGCTGTTCTTTCAGAAAACCGAACTGGATGGCCCCAAGTCCGAAGACTTTTCTTTAAAAAGGATCGATATCGAGTCTCTGCCTGCAGAATTATCTCCATTTGTGACCAAAGTTCCCAGCCATCTTCGGAACGAAGATGAACCACCTATCGTCCAGGTGGTAGTATCTACTGGATCAGGAACGGGGAAATCCAAGACAGTCTTTGAAGATGTTGTGCGGCCACTTCTTACATATGTTGGGTTAGAAAATTACGAGCTCTACGAGACGCAGTCGGCGCAAACTATCACCGAGCTCGCACGATCGAAATTCCTGGAGCGGGCTCAAAATAGCGTCCCTCAGACCATCATCCTTCTTTCTGGCGACGGGGGTCTTATCGACATTCTTGAGGTTTTCTACAAATCTAAGAAGAAGATCGGCGTGTCTCCCAATATTGTGTTGATGCCTTGTGGGACAGGGAATGCTATGGCAAGTTCTATTGGATTACGATCGGGTCCGGTGCCGGGTCTTTCAACCCTCCTTCGAGGCAGCCCATCATCTATACCAGTATTTGCTGCCAAATTCTCACCAGGCAGTCGATTGGTCATCGATGAAGGTCGCCAGCGAGCCGATATCGACACCGATGTTCACCACACATTATACGGGGCCGTTGTTGCGAGCTGGGGGCTCCATGCTGCATTGGTTGCAGACAGCGATACATTCGAATATCGCAAATTTGGAGTAGATCGTTTCAAGATGGCCGCAAATGAGCTACTTAATCCCTCAGACGGCACTCCGCCTCACAAATTCAAAGGCAAAATCACATTAACCACCTCGAATGGGCTAAACGAGGCGCGTTCCCAAGAAGCAGTGGAAGAGCTCGAGCACATGTATACGCTCGCTACACTCGTTCCACGACTCGAGAAGGACTTCTTGATTTCCCCAGACTCAGTTCCCCTGGACGGACAAATGAGGTTCATCCGCTTCGGTCCTATGTCAGCCGAAGACGCGATGCAGCTGATGACTCTAGCCTATCAGGGCGGTCGGCATGTGATGGAAGATACGGTTACCTACGCCAACACTGAACAAGTTCGAATCGATTTCCAAGAAGATGAGGAGAGGTGGCGACGAGTTTGTATTGATGGAAAGATCGTTGCTGTGGAAAAAGATGGTTGGGTGGAAATTCGGAAAGAACCTACCCGTTTACTGAACTTGATCAATTAGACAGAGATTCACCCAAGTTTCGATAGAGATATATATTAGATTAGAACTGAAGAATACATTGTGGTATGGTTCATAAAACAAGGGCCAGTTCATAGAGTTGTTGATCCGTAAAGGGAATGTAATCATGTGTTTGCCGCCGTCTCCGGGATTGGACCCCGTAAACTACCACTCCACCCATCCCAGCATATGGGATGCGCCAGCAAATGATATTGTTGTTGTCTCGCTAGTCTATCTTATCTAGCGCCTTGGAATTTGCTTGATTATAATGGAACTGCCCATTAGATTCGATGCTGATCACCGCGCGCACCTATTCAGCCTCCCAAACCCCAGACCAAGGTGCAGCACAACCCTGCAATAAAAGGTCGCGATTTCATACCTTCTCCGGCTGGCAAACAACTCCGGTGGATATAAAGGAAGCGACCGACATGTTGTTAATCCATCAAGTTGGTAGTGTTCGTGTTGGGGAAGTTGTTAGGTGAGTCTAGTCCGGATTGCCCCTCAAGTCCGAAGTCCTTCTGGGTCGCTAATAGTAAATCCTCCAACAGATACACGATTACCTATACTCCGGCGGACGATCCGATCCTTCCCATTCCTTCGAATCTCTACGTGAGGGTGAAGAACACATCTGCCATCCCGTTGCGTGCCGCATACCTCCATGGCCCGTACACGCTATACGCTGCTTGCTATCCCTCGCAGTTTGACCCCAATACCAAATACGAGCGACAGGATCTGGAGGGTACACCTCAGTTTGAGCCCTACCTAAAGGCGGGAGGTGGTTGGGACGCCATCATCAAGGTGCCGACTAATCTTCAGGAAGCTCACGATTTTGGCTCTCCGGGTCAAGGCGGACCGGCAAGTGGGCAGAGAGTTAGCTGGATCGTTGAGATACAATCGCAGGTGATATTCTCAAGTAGCGCAGCGGTCCATTTTGAGCTGCTGGTGGGCCGAGATGAAAAATCGCTGGCATATTTCTCGGGCGGTGCATGGAGTAGCGGAAATGGCGCTCCGGGGCCTCCGGCAAAGTTACAAGACCATTGGCTGCCTGGAACTAGAGGTAGTCAGGTGCTTGCCTCTAAAGGCGTGTACACAAAATCAATCGCTCTTCATGTCGACGATACAACTAGTCTATGGAGCAATCCGCCATTCCCCTCGGCGAAGCCGGCTTCCGAAAGCGTTGATCAGAAGAGTCAGGACTCGCAATCTCTGCGTGACAATCCAGCGCCGGAGGGCTCTACTGAAGTTCCGATGAAAAGCGCCCAGAAGAAGAAGAAGGTGCATCTCGTGTTACTGACACATGGGTTGCACAGCAACCTCGGTGCAGACATGCTCTTTTTAAAGGAGAGCATCGACGCAGCCATGAGAAAATCCAAGAAGGACGACAATAAAGCAAACGCTCCCCACGTCGGCCCTGTTGGACTGGATGATAGAGAAAACCTGACAAGGTATGAAACCCCATTTGAGCGCTTGGGCACCCATAATTCCTAATCCCTGGTTCTGTCAGCAGTAAATCCAGTCATGTGGAGGAGGATCAAAATAACCAGTCTAGCGATAACCCTGATGATGACGACGAGCAAGTCATTGTCAGAGGGTTCTCTGGCAATGCTGTTCGGACTGAGCGTGGGATTCAATACCTCGGCAAACGACTGGCCAAATATGTCCTCCTTCTCACATATCCAGATCAACCCTATTTCCCTTTGAAGGGCTCAAAGTCGAACCCATTTTCTCGACCTTTTGGTGCTCGCAAGGAGCGAACTCAACCATTTGCTCATCCAGCTGAATCAACCCCCGAAGAGAATGCCCAACAATTTCAAAACGAAGACCATGCCTACCAGATTACAAGCATCAGTTTTGTTGGCCATTCTCTCGGCGGGCTGATTCAGACATATGCAATCGCATATATCCAAAAGCACTCACCTCAGTTCTTTGAGCAAATCAAGCCTGTTAACTTTATTGCCCTTGCAACCCCCTTTCTCGGTCTTAGCAATGAGAATCCAATGTACGTTCGATTTGCATTGGATTTAGGTTTAGTTGGACGTACCGGCCAGGACCTCGGGTTGAGTTGGACAGCACCGAAAGTTCGAAGTGGCTGGGGAGCCATTATTGCTGGAAGAGGAGAGTCTGCGAAAGACCCTGGCCATTCGGATCCTGGCGCCAAGCCGCTTCTACGGATTCTTCCTTGCGGTCCTGCCCACGAGGTTCTTAAGAAGTTCCAACATCGCACAGTGTACTCGAATGTGGTGAACGACGGGATAGTTCCTTTGCGGACGTCCTCGCTTTTGTTCCTAGACTGGAAAGGTCTGGATCGGGTTGAAAAGGCGAGGAGGGACAATGGAATTGTTGGAACTATGGCCGAATGGGGGTGGGCAGAGTTGACAGGCGCCAACTCGAAATCCCCGCGATTAGGTCGCCCCGACGGAGAACAGCATTTGAGTCTCCCGGCATTGGAGACCGGTCATCAAATCGCATATCCTGCGACCCAGGTTTCCCCAAGACCCCAAAACGACATTTCGGACGAAGATGCAATCTCCCCGAGACCGGCACAATTCCTAGCACCACCCAGTCATGTGTCCGGCCTGAAAATGCCAGAGGGCGCGGAGAAGGAAAATATCCCGGGAAGTGCGTCTCCCAGTCCTCTGGACAGCTTTTTCTCGCTGTTTCGCCTAAATCAGGGCAAGAATCCCCCTACTAGCAAGAATGCTAGAATTTATAAGCGTAGCCAGACCCTGGGCACGTTTGAGACTGGCGATGGCGTTGGAGATGGCATGATTCCAATTGCTCCTGGACATTCCTCACAGGAGCACGAAGGAGTACACACGCCTCCAAAGACAACATTTTTCGAGTCTGCTGGAGATTTACTAATGCCACCTTTACCACCTGCGGATTTCATTTTGGATCCTGCCTCGCGACCCCGGACAATCTTCCACGACCGCATCTACCACCCAGAGGATATACCGCATCCTTTACCGACAAAGCGACGCACATTAGCATTTGGTTCGCTTCAGGGCAAGCAATCGAAGTCGACACCCACTCAGCACCCACCTGCTAGCATCGCGGAAAATGAGAGTGGCCTCAAGGTCGAAGAAAAGATTGCGAGAGCTTATCACCGTGATCTGACTTGGCGTAAGGTTCTTGTTCGGCTTGAGCCTGATGCCCACAATAACATTATTGTGCGGCGCATGTTCACCAATGCCTATGGCTGGCCTGTTGTGAAACACTTGGTTGACACACATTTCGGCCACACGCCTACTGCGGAAACCGACGATTCTCTGAAGCAAAATGTGGAGATGGCCAAGTCTCCAAATGTTGGACCGACTAGTTCGGGTGATGAGATTGAAGGGCAGTCCGATTTTGCCGATCCAAATTCAGTAAGAGATACAGACGATTTGCCAAATGTATCCAATCTCCATGTATCGGAAGGTCCATCTTCCGGTCCTCGTGACACCTTACCTGTCGAAGATGAATCGCACATGAGCACCAGTGACAGAAATCTTGTATCGAGGTCGGATTCAGCACGATGGACTGATCGTGAAGTTGTCGAGGATGACAGCGAGTCCGGTTTCGAAGTGGAAACCAACGCTGGTTTCCGTCATTTATAATAGCGCCATTCTGGTTTTCATTGTACATACAGTTTCCTTAGACATATATACCCTGTAATTATGTGAACGTTATATTTGAATTGAAGCTTTTTTTTTTACTCTATATTGTATTCAACTAGTCCAAGGATTAAGGGACAGTAATCAATACTTCAATTCACCTTGAACATGGCTCCAGAATTCCTCCACCATCTCCTTCTGTCCAGTTCCGCCTGGGGAACCTCGGACAGCAAGATATTTCCGCCCATCAAGACGAGCTTCCCAAACTCCTGGGTTGCCGTCCGCCATAATACCCCCAGCTTCAGAGAGGATAACCCATCCCGCGCAGACATCCCAGGACCAGCATCCACCCTCCCAATACAAATCCAACGAGCCATCAGCCACAGCACATAGATTCAACGCGGCCGAGCCTAAACTCCGCATCGAGCGCACCATAGCCCCACCGTTTTCCTTAGACTGGCCCAGCTTCTCATATGTCCGAACCTTAGTCTCCCAATTGTTCCCGCTGCGATCCGCGCCCCATTCAATAGCAATGAGAGCATTAGCTAGTCCGGACAGGGGCTCTACATTGTCACCCTTAAGCGGCAAGCGAGTTTCACGATTGAGGAAAGCGCCTTGGCCTCGAATAGCAGAATACAAGTTTTTGGTGGAGGGGTTGAACACCACGCCTACTGCCGGTATGCGTCCAACGGCGAACCCGAGCGAAACACAGGCAAATGGGAAGCCGTGCACGAAGTTCGTCGTTCCATCGATGGGGTCCACGACGAAGGTAGGGGCATCGGTCAATGGGCGTGCTGGGTCATATGTTTCCTCGCCGTGGAATCTGAGAGAATACGCATCAGGAACATGCTAGCGGCTGTGAACGAGAAAACACATACTCGTAGTGTGGGTACTTCTCCCTCAGGGAGGTCGAGATCATGTTTTCGACGGCACGGTCATATTCCGTGACGAGGTCGACACCTACAGGGATTAGTTGGTGTCTTTTTGCTGTTTGTATGCATACGGACTATTAATTTTGGATCCTGTGCCGCTGGTTGCTGGGAGTGCATTATTGATTATGTCTCCAGCCTTGAAGGCCAAGGAGACTAGGAAGTCATGGATCTCGTTGAGGTTTGGGTTCTCCATGATTCAATTGAGATATTGAGATGGTAGACTTGGAGATTTTAATAAGATTTAAACGTCGCGACTGTTATTATTGAATATGTTGTATATCTTTAGGGGAATTGATGTATTGACCCCTCCCCAACCCCGACCCCACCCCCACTCTACCTTGCTAATTCGACACCCCCGGCCTGAATATTCAGTCACCGCCTTCCATATATGGTGCGATATTGAATTCTGCCATACATGAGATTCGTCGCTACCAGAAGTCAACTAAGCTCCTAGTCCCTAGTCCCTAGTCCGGAAGCTCCCCTTCCAGCGTCTGGTCCGCCCAGGACTTCAAGTCCGATCTCCGTTTCTAGTCCTCTGCCATCGGTACTCTCCAGGAGTCCGTTGAAACTCACCTCGTCTCTCTCTTTGAGGATACCAAATGAGCGCGTTGCCAAGATTATCAAGACCTCTGGCAAATACCTATATCTGGTCTGCAGCTCATAGTTGCCTACGGCCGATCTGCACAAGCTCAGTGTAGACCAGGGGATTGACGAGCTCGAGACGCTCGAAACGAATAAGATGAACGGAGTGTATGGCACCGTGTACGAATTGTCTAAAAGCAACCATCCAATGTTCACCTCAAAAAGTGTAAAAAAAGGAGTATGGTTAAATGTTGGTTAAACAACCCTGCTATGGGTAACTATATATACTATCGGATTTTCTAGGTAGTATAGCTGATTTAAAGGTCAAAGATGGAGGAGACGATCTCCGGGAACGCTAGAGGCGGGGCATTTCCGGCCTCTTTCGAGGGAAGTAATGTCGACATGTATATTGTAGAAATAACTATAGATCATTAGTGGTATGGCTATTATTGGATTAACTACTCCTATCCTCTTAAGATTGCCTATATCTATATAGTTACATATACTTGTTTTGTATTACAAATCGTAGAATAAGACCCCTTGGGAGTTATCTCCACGCTTCCAGTGACGTCGAAAACCCCCCACTTCCGCGGGAAAAAAAAAATCTTTGAGATTCGACAATTTTGGAACACACATTCAGGTGCCCTTCTTTTTGGCTTATAGATTATACTTCAATATGCCGACCGAACTTGAAGAGGTGCGTCCCTACGACCTACAATATCGATTAGCTCACTCACATCTTTCTATAGCTGGTGGAATTCCTGCACCATGGCAACACCCAAATCAGACAAATCGGTACGACAACTCCTCTCGCGGCGCGCGAATATATGATCTAACAGCTCATAGCTTGTGAAAACCTCGTCGGCTTCTCCACAGCCCAGCCTGACTTGTTCAAGCGCCATCAACTCCTGCCCGTCCGCGATTTGAAGCTTCTGACCCGTGATTACACCGTGCGTTATCTGCGATCATGGGGGGTGACTTTCGACTGATAACTTTGTATAGCCCATTGCGAAGAATGCATTGACCATCCTGGTCAACTTGTCTGCTGACGAAGAGGTGTTGAAACTCCTCGCGGAGGATGAGAAGTTCATTGAGACCTTGCTTGCGAAATTGACAGTGAGTTATCTCGGTCATACCTGTGGATAGCAATGGGGCCTAATGTGTTCGATCTCAGAATCCCAATGAACCCAACGCCGACGAAGTGGCCATGCTTTTGGCCAATCTCGTCAAATCCGACAAACTGCACGATCTGTTCTCACTCAAGCGCAAAGCCCCCGAATCCGTATCTACCTCCGAGAACGCAATCGATCAGGTGATGGACTGCTTCGTGAAGGGTGCCGAGGGGGATCTCAACAAGCACGCCAATTATGATTACCTGTCATACCTGTTTGCCGACCTGTCCCAGACAGACAAGGGCAGGGCCTATTTCACCCAACGCCAGGAGTACGATGGCGTGGTCCCCATCACCAAGCTGACAGTCTTCACGGAGCACAAGAGCGATATCCGCAGGAAGGGTGTTGCATCCACAATCAAGAATGTGGCTTTTGAAATCGAGTCGCATCCAATGCTCTTTGACGAGGATGGCGCCAACCTTCTGCCTTACCTGTTGCTCCCGCTTGCAGGTCCAGAGGAGCTGTCGGACGAGGATACGACGGATATGCTGCCAGACCTCCAGCTATTGCCGCCCGATAAGCAGCGAGACAGCGATACCACCATCATCACAACTCATCTCGAAACCTTGCTTCTCCTGACCACAACTCGCGAGGGTCGTGATAAGATGCGAGCAGTCAAGGTTTACCCTTTGATCCGCGAAACCCATATGCATGTTGAAGATGAGAATGTGACAGAGGCATGCGACCGGTTAGTTCAGGTCCTGATGCGAGATGAGGAAGGTGAAGGTGAAGGTGAAGGGGAGCCCGAACAACCTCAAATCGAGGCGCCTCAAAACGAGGATGAAAAGGTTGTAGAACTGTTTTAAGCGATTAGATACCAAATCAATTGTACATAAGGAAGTGCAGGTTATCCAACACTGTATATTATTCATTGTTGTATATGATTGTAATATCGTACCTTGTACGGAGTATGCAACCTTTCGTTGGACAGCCCTGGAGGGAAGATAAATCTGCCGATGTAGGTGGGGCAGTCCAACCGCCGGGGGGGGACGATGGGTCGTTTTTCACCACACTACGACCTTAGTCCTCCACTAGCTCTGGGATTTTCACTCTTCTGATTCCTCAATGTCCAGATCGATCTCGAGCTAATGCACGACCTAACCTGAAATACTGGAAGTATTTCATCATCCCCCCACCATCACGTCGGCCAATATTCCACTGCGGACGCGGAAGCTGTCTTGCCCCTCGGCCCCGAGGCGCAAGTGGCTTCCCGCTGAATCGGATCGAACAGATTCCACTTTCGATGATTGTGCGAGCGACAATGGGAACTACCCCGAAATCGACAATCTACCACCCGACGTGAATATCGACACTGGGATTGTTCAGCGCTTTCGGGCCTTTATGTCGCGCGCCCCTCTTCGCTCGTCGCCCATCCCGGGTGCTCCCTCTTACGGATCATTGCAAAGCACAAACGACTCGGAAGAGGATATCCCGGTTCCTCGTAGTCAAAAAGTTCGCGGGGGGGTTACAACGCGCGAGCTTCGAAAATGGCATTGGAAGCTCTTCCAACGTACAAGGGTCTACCCCGAGACGTTCACATTCCTCTGTCAGGAGACGAAACAGCTTCTATGCAGAGAGAAACCGTCGGCCTTCATCCGCTGCCTCCGATGTGGGAATGGGTCCAGATTCAAAATACTCGTTTGCCACTGGATTGGCCGTACCGGGTAACCCGGTGATGCAAGAGACACCAGCGTCTTCGCCATATATGACAAGTGATGATGAAAATATCCTCGACATTGATGATGATGATTCAAAGTCCTCGAGTGAGGATCCTCCAGATAATTCGCCGTATGCCCAAGTACGAGCTTCGGTCCCGGCGACGGACGATATCTCCCTTTCTATTAACAGTAAGCTTTCTTCCAGATATTCTTTCTCTATGTATATCTAATGGTTTCTAGCACCTCGGATGTGGATTCTCTCTTTGTTATTCTCTTTGACGGGGTCCGCTGCCAATCTTTTCTTTTCTTTGCGCTATCCTAGCGTTGCCATTACCCCAATTATTGCCCTTGTTCTAGTTCATCCACTAGGCAAGTTTTGGGATGTGCTCTTTAAACAAACAGGTGACCCTCTCGAGATTTTCGAGAACGGATCCCTTCATCACCGGGAGTTACTCTCTGGCGAGATCGATTCCCCCCCTGTACCATTGGCGTCCCGAGTCAGACTTTGGGTTGCCCAGGGCCGTTGGAACGAGAAAGAGCATGCTTGTGTCTATATTAGCAGCAATGTTTCCTTTGGATTTGCTTTCGCCACTGATGTTAGTACACCCACGAAGTATTTGTGACGAAGCTGACCAAGACAGGTTATTGTCGAGCAACATAAATTCTACAACCAGGATGTCCCAGTTATATATCAACTGCTGCTCATCATATCCACTCAGGTTTTGGGATATGCATTCGCGGGTCTAACTCGACGATTCCTGGTGCGGCCATCGGCTATGATCTGGCCGGGTACACTAATGTCCACTGCAATGTTTTCCACAATGCACAAGTCTGTCAATAAAAAGGCAAATGGGTGGAGCATCTCCCGATATAAATTCTTCGTCATTGTGTGGGGAGGAGCGTTCCTCTGGTATTTTGTTCCAGGACTGTTGATGCCTGCTCTAAGTTATTTTAATGTGATCACTTGGTTGGCACCCAAAAATGTGGTGGTTTCGAACTTGGTAAGACATTCATTCAGGTCATTTTCTGCTGCTTCGACTGACTCTTCTAGTTTGGTGTTGCCTCTGGCCTTGGGATGTTCCCCTTGACCTTTGATTGGGCTCAGATTGCCTACATTGGCTCCCCATTACTCACGCCTTGGTGGGCCGCAGCCAACATCGTGACGGGACTGGTGCTTGTCATCTGGATAGCCGCTCCGATACTTTGTAAGATATCCCAGTCTTATCTCATTTGACTCTGCTGACCGAACGAAGACTATAAAAATGTTCTTTTCTCTGCATATATGCCCATCGTTTCAACGGCAGTATTCGACAATGCTGGGCGACCATACAACGTGAGCCGCATTTTGACGACGGACTTTTTGTTCGATGAAAAGGCCTATCAAGATTACTCCCCGGTTTATCTCCCAATTACCTATGTGCTGTCTTACGGTGTTCAGTTTGCTGCTTTGACATCCCTCGTCACTCACACCATTTGCTGGTATGGAAAGGACATCTGGCAACAGACTAGAAAGGCTTTTGAGGAAAGACGAGAAGTTCCAGGCATGGAGACGTACCAGCCCCTTCGTGGCAGTAATGCTACGATTCGACAGAGTTTTGAAATCCCAAGGACCAGTTCGCATGCACCAGGCCAGGAAATTCCATTGGGTGGGGAAGATGTTCATTGCCGCTTGATGAGACGCTACAAGGACGCTCCTCTCACGTGGTACCTGATCGTGTTCATCTCTATGCTCGCCATTGCCATCTTCACAGTGGAATAGTATGTTTCCCCCTCTCTTTTGCCTTTGATCGCAGCTGACCCTAGCACAAGTTATCCCACACACCTACCTTGGTATGGGCTACTCTTGGCTCTTGGTATTACCTCTTTGTTTTTCATCCCAGTGGGCATCATCATGGCCGTCACCAATCAACATAGCAGTCTGTATCTGATCTGCCAACTCCTTTGCGGTATTGTATTCCCGGGAAGACCTGTGGCGAACATGATTTTTGTGACCTACTCATATATCAGCTCTGCACAAGGGATCAAATTCTCCTCGGACCTCAAACTTGGCCATTACATGAAGATCCCACCACGAATTCTGTTTGGTGTCCAGATGATGGCGACTTTGGTCTCAAGTCTGACCCAAATCGGCGTGCTGAACTGGATGTTCAATTTTGTCCCGGGACTTTGCACCCCGGAAGCTATCAATGGTTTCAATTGCCCCATTGCTCGAGTTCATTTCAACGGTAGCATTCTCTGGGGAGTCGTTGGCCCCCAGCGCTTCTTTGGCCCAGGAGGGCTATATCGTCCGCTTGTCTGGGCCTTTTTGATGGGAGCCGTCGCCCCTCTCGGAGCATGGCTTCTAGGGAGACACAGCAAGAAGAGCTTCTGGCGTATGGTCAACTTCCCTATCTTGTTTGGCAGTCTGAGCTGGATACCACCTGCAACCGGGCTCAACTTTTCCATCTGGGGCCTTGTGTGTTTCGTATTCAACTATGTGATCCGCCGAAGGAGGACCGCATGGTGGGAGAAATATGCAATGACCTTGTCGGCCGCATTGGATTCTGGGTTGGCATTTGCCGTGGTCGTTGTCTTCTTCGTCTTCATTTACCCAGGCTGGGTCGATGGTTTCAAATGGTGGGGGACGGAGATTTATAAACAAGTAAGTTCTTATTCTTCTGGTTGTTTGATATCTGCTAACAATGTCAAGGGCTGTGATTGGATTGCTTGTCCATACAAACCACTGGAACCGGGTCAGCGATTCGGTCAGTAGAGTTTGCATCAATTGAAATGATACAGAAGCTACCAGTAAATACGCTACATCTAGTACCTATCCAAATAGAAAAGCAAGAATGGTCGGCCGCCCTTTATGCAGCCTCTGTTCTTGACGACTTGGGATTTGGATTATCTGAAAATGTAGTGGGCTTGGTAGACTATTAGAGGCATTACAATTTGGATGAACTATTATGTGTTGGACTATTTGTAATCTTTTAGGATAAATTTTGAATATGACTACGATGTATTCCTTGGTTGTAGAGGTGATCTTTAAAACCTTGGAAGAGCCTCAGAGTGCACAGACCACACGGCCCGGAGATCTTCCCGAGTCACGTGTTATCCCAGCGGGACGGGTAAATATTTGCTCCGAGGTCTACCGTCATACGTCCGGGTCGCTGTCTCCAGCTCTTTCAAAGTGGCTTACCCATCCCTCACTCTTTTTTCAACCTGCCCCTCTTTTCGCAACACAAGAAAGGCAAAGGGTTACATTTGTTCCGCATTTTCATCCCTAGCGAAATTCGTCGCGTCGCCTTCTACTACTCGTACAACTCTGTTTTTCACGTCGGCAACATGTCGACTCCAACGAATCCCTCGAATGCTCGCACCCCAACTGGGCCAAATGGCGCACCGGTGATGAGGATGCGTCGTCCCAAAGCAGCTGATCCTTTGGTTCGACCGAAGAGAAGGCCTGCCCCCAAACCAGCTGGCGCCACTCCCGCCGGCAATGCAACAGCCACCAAGACACTTCCCTCGCGGCCGTCCCACCCCCAGGCAATCTTTCCGTCCGAGCGACCTATGCTTGAGCTTTCAAACAACCACATGTCATCGAATGGGTTCAGCGGTCCTTTGCTCAGTGATAAGTACGTTGATTATCCGGTGGTGACGACAAAGCGAGCTCTGCTGGAGGGATTGAAGCACCACGTCGCGCGATTTGCCTCGAAGAAAAACGTCGACCCACGAGACGAATCACAATTTACTCGACCAGTCCGACTTCACCGCCGCGACCCACGTTCACGGACTCACGACCCAAACTCGGGAAGGTCCGAGATCGATGGCCAACCAATGGATGAAGCTGAACGCGAAGCCTTTGATGCTCGCAAGGCCGCACGTGAAAAAGAGCGTGCTGAGAACCTTTCCCAAATCGCTCCTGCCCTCGGCTCTACCTCGAAACGACCAAATGCCCCGAAGCAGAAGACGCAGCAGGTTTTCAAGTCGGATATGACCCCTGAAGAGATTGCACGAGCTCGGATCAAGTACGAAGAGGCCTTGCCATGGCACCTGGAAGATTTCGACAATCAGCACACCTGGGTCGGAAACTACGAAGCAGCTCTGTCTGAAACACATGCAGTCTTTGTCCTCGACAACGGAAAGATGAGAATGATTCCGGCCGAAAAGTGGTATAAGTTCAACGCCAAGAGTAACTTCAAGGCTTTGACCATTGATGAAGCAGAGAAATTCATGGCCAAGAGGGTGAAAGACCCTCGATGGTTCATGGAAAAGCAGCAGCAGCTGGAGCAAGAAAAAGAGTTAGAAACATACGCCAAGCAGCGCAAAGTCTACGCTGGAAAACAGGGTGCAAATATTGGAAAGGGCGCGGGATTGGAAGCTGGAGAAATGGATTTCGAAGAGGATCGATTTGCCGATGACGAAGAGCATGATGACCTCTTCAATGAGGATGAAGATGCGAAGGATGCCGAAAAGAGAATCAAAGAGGACCAGCTTAAGGCGAATGTGTTCAATCTGAAAGACGAGAAGGAGTATGACGCTGAAGAAATGCGAGAGAGACGTGAACGAGAGGCCCGGCGTGTGTTGGGCAAGGGTGTGCGCAAGGCTCTGAAGAAGAGAGAACGGAACTTTGATTACAGCAGCGGTTCGGACGTCAATCCTTACACGGATGAGGAGGTAGGTTTTCACCCATCTTCGACCGCAAACCCTAAGCTAACTTATACAACTTATATAGAGCTCCGACGACAGCGAAACCGAACGGGCCAAGGAGGAGGAACGCAAGAAGGCAGAAGAAGAAAAGAACCAGAAAGAAGCGCTCTCCTCCAAGGGAACAAACACTCCCTCCGGTCGACCCAAGCATACAGACCCCCTGAAGAAAGCTGGAGCTGCTGGATCCCGGAAAAGGCCTGGATCGCCAAACGCTTCCGATGCGAGCGGCACCGATACATCTCGAAAGAAGGCCAAAGGCATGCATCTCCCTGCGTCTCAACCTCCATCGCGTCCGATCTCTCCATCCGCTTTGCAGGTATGTACAATCATTCTCCTTTAACCAATATATATTGATTTATTTAGGGCAAGAAACGCGTGCGAAACATTGCTGGTGGCGCTGGATCTGGCAGTGATGTCGACACTGGCGCCGGGTCTGGAGCTGAAATGACCGAGGGGGCAAGATCAAGAAACTGAAACTCAACCCTTCGGTTTCTCGTGGTGGAACTCCGCAAGGGTCCCGCGCCGCAAGTCCTTTGCCTCGACTCTCCGGAAGCCGTGCCAACAGTCCCGACGGCCCCAGAGGTGAGTGCCGAGCAAAATCCCTTTTCGATACAAGAAATAAACTAACCATCTATCTACATTACAGGTCATCGTGTGTCGACTCCAGTTTCTGGAACCCAGACGTTCCCAACGGCCGGAGAAATCCATGCCGCGATCCCAGCATCTGGCATCCTCAGCAGCGACCTCTTGAAGGTCTTCCGTCCTCGTATTGGCGAATCCAAGGAGAACCACCGGAGATTTATTGCCATTGTCAAGGATGTCAGTGTTTACGGAAAGGAGGATCGGATGCTGCGACCAGGTCCCTGGAAGGGGAACTGAGGTCTGCACAAGGTAATTCCAAGTCAAAATCATTTCGAATACTTTCCATGTTTTTTACTTTTATTTCCTATCTGCCATTCGCTGTCCAGCGGACATCTTGTGTCTAGGAACGCTTTAACTATGGACATCTTCTGCAAGCTGTCTCTCCTGGTTGTTCATAGCTGTTCATAAAGAGTACCTACCTAATATCTTTACTATGAGCAACCATCTTTTACATATGTCCCAATGAAAATCCTTACTGGCCTCGGGTCCCTACCCTACCCACGTTTGATGCCTCTGTAGTACACGGTGACTAAAATGAAGAAATATTACAATAGATAGGCTCTTTTCTTGGGAGTAACCAGGAGAAGAAACAGAAGCAACTGGTATTGGAAAAGAGGTGACCTGGGCATACCTACCTAGGACTAGTCAGGATAGGGGATGAAAGGACCCGTGGTTGCCGTATGGGTGCTAAGCCCTTTATGTATTTAAGGTTATCTAGGTAGAACCTTAGAACCTTAGAAGAACATCGTACTTTCCCCATTGTAGACAGACTACTTCCCTTTCTCTTCCTTTCACTTTTTTTCCCGCGTACCAACCTACTGTCTCAACTCAAGATACCGTTACCAAGGGCCACTTGAAGCAGAAGCGCGGAAGTATCTTGGATGGTTTCGAAAGGAACGAAAGCACCTGTTTCAGGGATATTTCACCACCTCTAGCAAAAAACCACCTAACGGAATCTGCTGGGCACCTTCACAATTCCTAGGGAAATTGGAGAGCGCGGTATAGAGAACTTAGGCTTTAAATGATAATTCAAAAGAAAAAGACTTAATAAATATCATCACTCCCATTATAAACACAACGAACCAGGAGACGAAGCTGGTTCGGAATCTAAAAACATAAATCACAATCATTACGTCTCACACCCAAGAGAAAATTTAGTCTCTAGGATCTATATGCGAACAGAATAAGAAAATGCACCGGGCTCTAAAACTGCGAGACCGCAACAGCAACAGCTTGCGAGTCACTGTGGCTGATGCTAACGCTGACCTGCTTGACACCCGCCTGTTTGGCGGCAGCGGCGGCAGCACCATGAAGCTGGAGATAGGTTAGCATTGTTATTGGAATCATAGAGAGAAATCATGCACTTACGTTAACCACCGGAGCGCCGTTGGCATCAACTCCGATCTCAATATCCTTCAGGGCAGCACCGGCACCCTTGCTGTTGACACCCAATGACTTGAAGACAGCTTCCTTGGCACTCCATCGGCCTGCAAACGAGGACTGGGGAGAGGCAGCCTTGCGACAGTAGTCCTGCTCGCTCTGAGTGAAGTTGCGCTCGACAAAGGTCTCGTTCTCAATGTTGACGGAATCGATGTGCTCGACGTCAACGCCGACCTTTGAGTTCTCGGCGGCATTGGCCTTGGCGAGGGACTCGAGAGTCTGGCGAGTGCTTTCGGACTCCTTGGCTTCGGGGCCAGTGGTGGAGTACTTGAGCTCAGAGGTCTTCTTGTCAACCGACACGCGGTAGTCGGGGTTCAGGAAGACCTTGCTCTGCAGATCATCTTCGTAAGGAGCCTTGGTCTTGGCAACGAAGATGCTGTTGTTGATCAGGCCGTTGTGGAAGTAGCGGTAGGCCTTCTTCTGGCGAGCCTCCACCTTGGTCTTGTAGGCCTGGTACTGAGCCTGGTCCAGAGTGGCGTACAGGTACTTGGGGTGAATACCAATAACCTGAGCACCCTTCTGACCGAAACCGAAGGAGGTGACGGAGAACGCCTTCACACCGTCGGTCTGGATGCTGCGGCTGGGGTAGACAATGTAGTCGAACTTCTCCATGACCTTGTCAACGTTGTCAGCGTTGCGGTTGCCGGGAACAAGACCGCTGTCCAAGACCTGCAAGCAGCCGTTGAACATCCAGGCACCGGCGGCACCCTTGGGGTGACCAGTGAGGTACTTCTGGAAGATACCCATCACTGCGTTACCCTTGGTGCGTCCAAGGTGCTTCATCTGTTGGCAAATGACATCGGACTCGTTCTTGTCGTTTGCGACAGTCGAAGTACCGTGGAAGGATGCGATATCAATGTCGTCAACTGTAAGACCCCAGGTAGCCATGGCACCACGGAGGGGAGCAATGCGAGGATCCTGCTTCCAGAAGTTGTTACCCAAACTGTATTGGGCATCCTTCTCCTGGCGAATGGCTTCGCG